TTGACAGGTTTTTTTCCGTCCAAAAAAGCCACCCCTTTGCAGGTGGCAAAGCTTTCAAATTCAGTAGTCAAAATCACGTCAAAGTATATCATTTTGGCTTATACCTTTATGGGAATTTCAACCTTAATGTCTGGTAGCAAAGATGAAAGTCTATTAGAGTGATAGGGGTAGTTTAATCTGCTCCTAATCACGTACCAAAATCACATTAAGTTATACGTTTTCTGATATATACGTTCATGGGAATTCCAACCTTATTATCCTGTTGTAAGGATGAATATATCTTAAAGTGCAAGGGATAGTTCGATCTGCTTCTGTCATTTAAATCACGTCGCAACATCACATTAAGATATACAATTTTGACATATACCTTCATGGAACTTTGAACTTTATACTCCAGTAATAAAGATGAAAGTCTATGAGAGTGTTTGGGATAGTTTGATATGCGGGTGTCTGTTCAATTATGAATTCGTGTTCATAAAGGGTGGAAAGGGATGAATTGGAGTATAGATGTTTTGCTAATTATAGACGTACAATTTAAAGTTTAATTTTGTTTTTAGGGGTTGCTTTAGGGTGCATTTACAGTGCTCCCTTTGTGGATTAGATTATAATTGTAATGCCATTTTTTTGGAAATTGTCCTTCTTTAAAAAATATGTATAAACTATTAGAATTTAAGCGTGAAAGAGCCATGCTTCGGCACGATTGGGCCGACTCGACCGGAGTGATACCTCGGCCGAGCAGGAAACCATAGTGAAGAAATCCTGGAGCAATGCCAATAATAATGTTCTCCCTTGTTGCATAAAACGAAAAGGTGAAAAGAGGGTGCAATATTTAAAATAGGGATGATGACAGGGTATGAAAATTAATAATGTAATTAGTCCTTCAGTTAGGTAATGAAAAAATATTAGATAAGTACGTTTTTATTTTATTTTGTCGTATAATTATATAATACCATCAAAGAAATCGAATCAAAGTTCAGGAGTGGGGGCTAAAACGTCATTTCTGCGTATAAAATGTCATAGAAGTGACGTCACGCGACGTTGCAAATGACATTACAATTTTACAAATGAATCAATTGATGCGGTGAAAATGAGAGCCCTGAGAAGTGAGAAGTATGTGTGGAGTAAAATTGAGCAATCGAGTGAAAATTGTAGAAAGATGTGGATTGAAAGATGATGTAGTGACAAGGATTGAAAAGGGAATGTTATACTAGTTTGGATATGTAGAAAGGATGGATGAAAGTAGAGTAACAAAAGTAGTATAAAGAGCGAATATGAATAGGGCCATCGGTAGAGGGCGCCCTAGACGGACATATGCAGACCAGATTGGCGATATATTAAAGAAGGGCCAAATTAAAAGTACCCTTAACCGACGAGTATGCACGAAAAGATTGATGACTGTTGATGAAGTGAAAGAGGTATGTAGGAATCGTAGCAATTGGCGTTACAAAATCTGCCTACCCCCATGGGAGACAGGCGTGAAGTTATGTATGTATGTAGAAGTGACGTCACGCGACATTTCAAATCAATATACCGTCGAAAGTATTCGTTTCTGTAAGAAAATAAAAAATACGTGTCTAATGTTTTAAAATAATCTACCAGACGGACATTGAAACAAAAGTTAGGCATCTATCCTATTTGCGAGTTCGTTTTTGTTGATTTCAAAGGTATGATGAGAGCTCTGGGGAGTTCTAAACACAGTAAAACTATCTCAAATCGAAAGAAAATAACATTGCTTAAATAAAAAATCATTACGCAGTTAAATAAGTGTCCAAAGTTTTGTGTTTGCAACGATACCCCCGCGTCTAGCGGATAGGGGATGACCGTTCGAGTCCCAAGGGAATAATAATCACCAGGGTTGGCTGACAGACTGTCACATTTTTTTTTTCGTTATTGCTAATTCAGGGCTGCGGTTGATATAATTGTAAGGACACCATACTTTGAGTTTGGCACGCGATTTCTTATCGCAATAGGTACTAATTTGTTGGAGTTTTGGAGTCCATATTATTTTTTTTTCAGATTATAAATGCTATTTTTTTAATATTTGATGGGCCGACGTTTGACCACTAGCTCGCCTGGTGGTAAGCGATGATGCAGTAGAAACACACTCCAATCCCTATATATATTACCAGCTTTTACCTGCGGCTTCGCTCGCGTCACAAAAGGATAAAAGTAGCCTATACCAATACACACAGCGCCATCTATACCAATTCTTTTGTTTTCCCTCGGGAATACCAAAATTTTCCGGGATAAAAGTAATCTATTATATAATCCGGACTTCTAATTTTACGTCTGCAAAAATTCAAAGCAATCGGTTTAGAAGTTACGGCGTGAAAGCGGAACAAACAAACAAACAAACTCACTTTCAGATTTATAATATTAGTAAGGATGATTTGTTTTAATCATTCTAACATTTTAACTTAAAAATATTTCACCTACTAGACGAGTCGAATTACTTTTATGTTTAATTTGATTCTATTTTTGATTGTTGATGCAACGATGTCGATGCAATTTTTGATTATCGAGTGCTTCTCAGGACTGGTTAAAGTATCGTTGTTTAATTTTTGTAAACGACATAGAGCGTATTTTTTTCTTAAATTGAATTTGGTCTACGTACGTTTGTCACACATACGGAGTACTACGAGTACATTTCCAAAATCCGTGCTATTGTCGGGAAAATATCGAAAACTGAAAAAACTTTGATACTCGACGCAGAGAATCGAGCCCGGGACCTCTTGTCCTATTTACGACAAATTGACCAACAAGCCAGACATATTATAGAAGTTTCAATACATTTTAATTTTGAAATTCTACAGTGTCCACCATGCATACAGCCCTAGCCTCCCCTATTGATATTTCGTCCCTCCTTGACAATCTCGGTAGTACCCTACCTATCTACCTACGTATCTGTTAAAAGTAAATATTTTGTGAATTTCACAGACTAGACTTTAAAAGTCTATGGATGGGGCCCATTAGGAAGACTTAACGGGTTGCCGGGGCTCTGGCTCACAGGAGTAGGAACGGGGTGGTTTTTAGTTAGTAAGAATATGACACTCCCTCTCGCCTCACATAGGCGAGAGAAGTCATTCGATGATTTTCCCCCCTTAAAAAAATTCTTTAAAGACTTTTATGGGATAAGCCGGTAAACGAGCAGACGGATCACCTGATGGAAAGCAATCGGCGTCGCCCATGGACACTCGGAACACCAGAGTCGTTACAAATGCGTTACTCGCCTTTTGAGGTTTAGAATTTTGAGGTTTGTTGAGGATACACGGTTTAAGGAGATTGGGTAGGGGGCGGGGGTTGTCGGGGCTCCGGCAACCTCATACGATGAAACACAATGCTGTGGTTGTTTCACGTCGGTTTTCTGCTCGGCCGTGGTATCACTCCGGTCGAGCCGGCCCATTCGTGCCGAAGCATGGCTCTCCCACACTTAAATTAGCTTAGCATAGCTACATACATCAGTTTTCTAATAATTTTAGACGGTTAATAAGTTCTAACCTTACTATCTATAGGTAAATGCTCTACCTAGGTTTTGCGATATTGAAAAACCCAATATTGTTTGTTTAACTTTACGTAGACGGCTATCTTCTATACGAATGTTATTATCCTGCTATTCCCAATTAATGTAGTCGTAATGATAAGTAAGGAAAACCGCTATAAACATGAAATAACTTATTTTCCGGTTTAACAATCAAAATTAATGTTAATTGCAAGAACTTGTGTGGATGTCTCTAATCTCATAACGTCACGCTTTTTATCTCCCAAGGGGTAGACAGAGGTGTACATTACGGGACTTAATGCAACTGTACAATGTAACACCCACTTTTCACTATTTATGTTATGAGTCCCATGTAATAGGGGGTGAGTCTATCGCCATATACATAATATAGGCATATATAGGCACAATTCCAAACTCCGTGCTACTAATGAGAAATAAAAAAAGAGAAAAATTAAAACCCCAGTAATACTTTGCCCGACCCGGCAATCGAACCCGAGACCCCTTGTCCGGCAGTCGCACTTGCGACCACTTGGTCAACGAGGCAAATTCTGAAACTCGTATAATTTATTATAGAAATAAGCTAAACCTTATTGAGGTAGAAATACTCTGTGATATGGCTGAGAAAATAATATACCTATGCAATTTACTCAACTCGGGAATCCAACCTGATATCCCATGCTCGACAGTCGTGCTTGCAGCTTTTCTACAAATGATTTCGGCGTTCGGTTCGGAAGTTCGATTACCGTTACCTCAATTTATTTTTATTTTGGAATAAATTTGTTCCATGTTTAAATACACAATAACTACAATAAGGCTAAGTTACAGCTGTGCTATAATTGTTTGTGGTTAGGGGTGCGCGGGCGCAACCAGTTATAAATGTAATATCTCGAGGTCGTAAGTTTAAAGTCTGTGTACGAAAATTTTAAGTCTATTAATATTATATCATTCTACTCACCTTACCATATATGTTTCTTGTCTATGGGCCACAGATAATAGTAGATAATACGTATTCTATCATTTCAATACCAAATAACTCTGTCTGTGGACCATGGACAAGACTTCATTTTTCTTTAGCTTTAAACCTTCGTATTTTTAATTTATATGTATATCTTTAATATTTCTATGATACCTACCTTGGTTTACCCTCGCTTTATCTATATTATATTTTATTTTTGTAGTTTTTTTTTATTTATTTTTTTTAAAACATTGCCCTACACTAGGATTATCTCCTGTGTCGTGGGTGCGTTTAAAAACATACAAGTTCACATACACATGACACCCAGACCCGAAACAACAATTTGTGGATCACACAAAGCGTTGTTCCGTGCGGGAATCGAACCCGCGACACGTTGCACGGCAGCCGGTTGCCCAGCCACTGCGCCAACCGTGCAGTCATTAGTCATTAGTCAGTTTTTAGTTATGTTATATGTGTTCTGCGCTATAATAAATAGTTTTTCTTTCTTTGTTTCATATATTAATTTGTCTGTTTATTTGATTACAGATGCAGCAACCAATGAACCAAGCGGAACCCATAGGGTAAGTTGTATCGTTAATTCATTAATATTTACATAACATAACATCACGCCTTTTATCCCTGAAGAGGTAGGCAGAGGTGTACATTACGGCACTTAATGCCACTGTACAATGTAACACCCACTTTTCACTAATTATATTATGAGTGCCATGTAATAGGGGGTGAGCCTATTGCCATATACCGGGCATAACAGACCCCATGCGACTACTGAGATTTTTTTTAAACCCAGTAATACTTTGCCCGACCCGGGAATCGAACCCGAGACCCCTTGTCCGGCAGTTGCACTTGCGACCACTCGGCCAACGAGGCAGTAATCAGGCAGACAGTAGACAGTCATATACTTAATCCTTACTTCCTTACTTATCCTTACTTATACATATTATAAATCGGAAAGTGAGTTTGTTTGTTTGTTTGTTCCGCTTTCACGCCGTAACTACTAAACCGATTGCTTTGAATTTTTGCAGACGTAAAGTTAGAAGTCCGGATTAAATAATAGGATACTTTTTTTCCCAAAAAAATTTGATATTCCCGAGAGAAAACAAAAGTATTGATATAGATGGCACTGTGTGTATTGGTATATGTCGCATAGGCTACTTTATATCCTTTTGTGTAAATTTCATAAAGTTCCCAATCCCCAAAAGGGCGACAAAGCACTTGTAGGTAACTCCTCGTGTGTCTAGGTGTCTATGGGCGACGCTGATAGCTTACCATCAGGTGATCCGTCTGCCTGCTTGCCCATATAAAATGTAGTCATATCTTATAATGTCTATATCTTCAATCCTATATTGTGCAGGGGTCAGCAAGCGATGCAGCAGCAGATGGTGTTGTGTCCTGTTCGATTCGTGTACGAGACGCAAGTACTGGTTCAACCTGGTGAGTATTGATTACAGAATGTAAACTTTATGCTTATGAAAATAAAACTCATTATCAATTAACTTTTACTGTTGAAGAATCGCCAAAGTTCAGGCGAAAGTAAACGTTGATGTTTGTGGAGCGAAGTTCATTTTACAATACCGCATGAAGACACAACTAAAGAACAATACAGTTCTACATAAAAGAGATACAATGATAATATTTTTGAAAAGACAAAGTTTCAAACCAAGCTCAACTTTATACAGAAATAAGTAAAGTTTAGTTTCCTAAAACAAAGCACGTAAAAAATTATGTGAGTTTTTTTCATCTTCAATGTAACACACCAATACAGACCGTAAATAGTAATAAAATTGTTCCAGGAGATCAGATCCAGCCAAACCAGACCTTCTTCATCAACCCACAGAATCCACCACCATGGATGAACAGACCAGCACCGAACCCAGTGGTCTACGTCCAACAGCTGCCCAACAACGTGGTCCATCAGGTTCCACCACAAATAGACCAGAACCAATTATACCTCCAACAAAACTTCGCCAACTTCCAACTCCAACAACACATGTTGGCTCAGAATCACCAGCAAAACAACCAAGGGATGCAATTAGCCAACATTGTGCCAAACATGGTGCAAACAGTCCAACCAAGTATACAGCCAAATGATAGGAACATAACAGCGACACCAAACCCAGTACAGATGCAGACAAACACACAGATGATACAAAATCAGATGAACGTACAAAGGCAAGTACAGAACCAGCCACAAGCTGCTGACGTTCAGAGGCAAGTATACATGAACGTAAGGCCACAGATAAACCAGCAGATGAACATAGCCAGGCCCGTCATGTCCCTAAACCAGATACAAAACATGCAAGCGATGGCCAACATGCAAAACTTACAAATACAGCAAGCAAATGCTGGACAAACATTTGTGCAAAATATTGGGCAAAGAATGCCGCAAAATGTGAATGCTGTTAGACCACAGATAATGGGTAACAATATGATGAATGTCCAGAACGTACAAACTATACCAAACGTACAACAAAATGTTCAAAGTGTTCAGAATGTTCAAAATCTACAGAATATACAGAATATTACCATGAAACCTCCGCAACCACCATCAGAAGCGAACAAAGTAATGAATAACGTCGGCACAGCACCGCCTGCTGTGAGAAACTTTGCTCAGAACTACAACTGCCGACCCATACAACCGAGGCGTAGATTCGAGAGTCCAAATGTACCTAAAATGCAACCACAACCAAATATACCAGTACAACAACAACCTCTACACATACCGGTGCAACCACCGCCACCACCAACACAATACAACCAGGAGAGAGTAAATAGTCACACTGTAGTAACAAATATAGCGACGAATACAAATTTCTTAAATAACCCCAATGTTAGTAGGAAAAGAAAAAGCGAATCTCCAGATGAAATAGAACACAAGATGGCACCACAACCGCCACCCAAACCGATATACAAGAACGTACAACAGGGTATAACTATCACTAAGATATGTAATGAAATAGGTACGAACACGAGTCCCCAGCACAGTAAAACGAATGCAAATAATGTCAAACTGAATAGTACTGTTGTCCAAATGACACCCGCCCCACAGCTGATGGTGGTAGAAGCACCAGAAACATCAGATGCTAACAAAAAAATTATAAATGATTCACGAACTGTGATAGCTCCTGTTACAGAGAGCGATAAATTAATTAGAAATACAGTGTTCACACAAGCACGAGGTAGAGTGTTACAAGACAAAATAAACGATGCTTTACCAACACAAATTGTAGAGAATAAAACGCCAGAAAGTGTTCAAAATGCGACTGATATTAGGACTGATAATGAGGTACAGACTGATAAAGACGCGGTAATGACTGAACCGCCAGTTGATAAAGTTCAGCCTGAAAAGGCTGCAACTATACCAATGACTGAAACACAAAAGGTTGATGTAAATATTGCGACTGAAAAGAAAGTTATTGAAGTCAAAAATGATGTTTCGAAAGATGTTGTTAAGAGAGAAGAAGAAAATAAGAGTCCTGATATACAGGACGGGAAATTAGTGATAGATGAATCGAAGGATCAAAGTACTGAAGTAAAGGATGAAAAGATGGATATTGCTGAAAGATATCCGCAGAAACAAGATATACTGACACATGTAGTTGATGGATATGTTATTCAAGAATCTAACTTCGCTTTTCCGGTGAGTTCAGAATTTGATTTCTTGGAGAAAGAGACGGAAGAGAGAGACAGAGAGTGAGAGTCATTTAATTTCATACCTTACATTCATACCTATAGATCTTTGTTTGACATTACTTTTATAGATTTTCTGTCAAAAACTTCGGTCGGTTGTTAATTTCGACTATTAGTTTTGTTCTGAAATTCTATTTTTAACTTCCATACTAAGCCCGTGCCCTGCGTTAAGCATGTAGACGCGTGCTGTGTCATATAATCGCATAAATCAGGGTGCGACGGGAGACCATATATACGGCTGAATTGAGAACCCCCTTCTTTTTTGAAGTCGTTTAAAAACAGCACGCCACGCGGGCGCCCGCGCTTTGAGCATGCCTATCGCAGCGCACGGCTTTATTCTTATAAAAGTGTATGTGTGTTTGTTTGTCAAACCCGAGTCAAAACTCAGGTTTAACTCCCGGATCAAACAAAAATAACTCTTTGTTTGATCTAAAATTATTCCATGTGTAATTGTGATGTATGTTTGATTTGAAGGAAGGACCTAACGACCAACACAATGAGTCAATGATACAATGATGAAAAAACTGTTAAAAAAAATGCTTTCTACCCTTTTCCAGATCAGGAAACCTCTAATAGAGAAGACACTACATGCCAACCTGAAGGCGGAATCTGAAGCAACAGACGCCCTGAAAGAATGCATGAAAGAAGAAATGAAGAATCCAGAAGTAGATGGACAATTACTGCCGTTCCACTATCTCCTACTCCATTGTGAGAAGAAGAAAGAAGAAGAAGATAAAGAGGATGTCAAGGAGATGAATCCGTTTGCTGATTTAGAGCATACTACAGTGAAATCTTGGACGGTAAGTTATACGATAAAATGTTCATGTTTGGCTACTAATTTAACATAACATTACATTACGCCTTTTATCCCCAAATGGGTAGGCAGAGGTGCACATTATGCCACTGTACAATGTAACACCCACTTTTCATATTTATGTTATGAGTCCCATGTAATAGGGGGTTAGCATATTGCCATATACCGGGCACAATTCCAGACTCCATGCTACTACTGAGTTTTTTTTTAAATCCAGCAGTAGTTTGCTCGACTGGGCAGACGAAGCTTACACGGCGGTCATTTGCGACCACTCGGCTAATGAGGCAGTCAAGCTAGTAATTTGTTCAGGTGGAATATGAAAACTCGGGTTCGATGCCTAGGTTTATCAGAGAGAATTCAGTCTTCTGTCTTCTAGAATTGTGTCTGAAATTTGTAAAACATTTAGAAATTCTGTAATCGGGTACTTTCCTTAATCAAAAATACTTTTTTTTTCTTTTTAAAAAAAACGTTGCCCCACACTAGGATTATCTCCTGTGTCGTGGGTGCGTTTACAAACATACAAGTTCACATACACATGACACCCAGACCCGGAACAACAATTTGCGGATCACACAAAGTGTTGTTCCATGCGGGAATTATTTCGACTGTTCAATACAATAAAATATAAAAAAATGATCACACTTTCATTAATTGATTTAATCACCAAGTATTTTTCCAGCAATTCTTTAACAATGATGGAACACAGAGTTCAACCAGTTGACATACACATACATACGTCCTAACAACTGGTTGAACTCTGTACTCTGTAGTACACAAGTATTTGTGTACTATAATCGTCGGATCAGGTTCGGTCCCTGAGTCGGACCAAGTGTTAGGCTTATATGGTATCATCACATCTCTTAGGAGCCCAAAATCTTGGCTTGTCTTTCAAAGATTAATTCAAAAAAATTTTCTCTAAACTCCGCAGGTGGAAGACCTCTCAAGTCACCTGATGAAATACGATTGGAAAGACACAGTGTCGGTATTTCAGGACCATGAAATAGATGGAGAGTCCTTATTCTTAGTGTCAAAGAACCAACTAGTTAGCATAGGAGTCACAGAAGAAAATGCAGACGTTATCTGCGCATTCGTCAGAAGCTGATCATCAGATAATCGGGAGGAATCGATCCTAATCGATTACGATTGGGAAATAAAATCGAATTTCATCCGAGTGCATACTAACAATCGTTCCTCTCACAATCGAGTCAATAATCGTTCATATTACAATAGATATTCTAGAAAATCTAAGTTTAAACTGTCGAAAGTCGGTAATCGATCGTTTTATAATCGATTTTTGAAAAATAAGCAGTACGTTAATGCTTTTGTTAAGCCAGGATTTGATTTAGTTTATCCAAAGAATACAAGGAATTGTACGGCAGTTGATATATTAAATAAAGATATAGATACTAATATTTATGCTGATGTACATGTACAGATTCCAAATACATTTAACTATAGACCTAAACACAGTATAATAAGACACAAAATAAATGGCCAACAAGTAGCTACAAAGAATACAGGTCAACATAGTCTAAATATACAACAAGGGGAGAATTTTGACAAAGACATAGCAACAGCTGAGAGTAACATAGAAAAACTGAAAAAGGTAATCGAACGTTTGGAAAGGAACGATATTATTGTGACGGAGATACACGACAATGAAAACGGCAACCAAAAAAAAGTCGAAGAAATTGATAAAACTATAGAAAAAGACGCCAATGAAAAAGAAAAAATTGTTTTCAAAGATGCTTATGTTCATCTCAAACGAATTTTACATCAGAATTATATTGTACCAGCAGATGGTGGTAACAATAAATATCAAGACGAACCATCGACTGTATATGAAAATCCAGCGTCCAATAACAATGAAACAGTCCCTGAAAATCATGGAAAAGTAATAATAGAAATAAATACTGAAAATGATGAAGAGAGAACACATAATAACATCACAATAAAAGAACACGAGAACGCAGGAGAAAAAATTGTTCTCAAAGAAGCTTACGTCAATTTAAGACGGCTGTTATTAGATAAATATTCTACAAATGCTAATGGAGATGGTACATTTAATTTAAATGAAAATATAGAAACAAATAACAACATAAGAGTTTATATAAAAACGAATCATACTATCAATGACGTAAATAACATTAATAATGATACAGAAGCTGACAATATACCAGAATTACCAAAAAACACTGATACAGTTGACAATGAAAATGATTTCTCCGTAGCTGTGAAGCAACAGTTTGATGATGTAATACCAGGAACTAGTGATGGACTTCAAGGAGTAGTGTATGAGTCAAAGAAAGAGAGTGAAGGAGAAAGGGATAAGAAACATGTTCTGACTCATGTTATTGATGGATTCATCATTCAGGAGTCGAGTCATCCTTTCCCAGTAAGTATTGATCTTAGTACCAGATTAGAATTTAAATTAGATATTGCTAAAATATTTTGGAAACTACCATGACATTGTGACATTCTCCTACTGGACTTTAGACCTCCTCTAAAGGGGATAGTGGGAAGCATTACGTTGTCACGAATGGGCCCGCTCGACCGGAGTGATACCACAGCCTCACTAAAAACCGATGTGAAACAACGCTTGCGTTGTGTTTCGTCGTGTGAGTGAGGTTACCGGAGGCCTAATCACCCCATTCTTCTTCGAGGGAGACTTCCCCAATCCCCGAATCCCCACAATCCTCAAATTCACCTGATGGTAAGCAATCATAAAAGCATGAATATCCGCAACACTATAGGACGTGCAAAGGCGTTGTCGGCCTCTTAAAGACGGTAGATTTCGAAGAATCTTAGCAAATGGCGTTCCATGGTCTCTACCTACCCCAATGGGAGACATACGTGAGGTTATAAATGTATGTATGTAAATTTGGAGAATAGGGTAGTTTCCTAAATTTTATTTTAATGTCCATCTGGTACATTAATTTAAAACTATAGACACGTATTCTTTCTTTTCTCACAAAATAAATTAATTTCGTCGATATATTAATTTGAAATATCGTAAACATGGGTCCCCAGTAATTATGGAGGCTTTGAGTAATTTATATCCCAAACCTTTAATTGCAGATCCAAAAACATTTCCCATTGATGACCACTTCACAAGCACCAGAACAGACCAGCACCGAGCCTACTGCAGAAATTATAGAAGAAGAGATCATAGATGACAACGAAAATTTGAATCCCTTCAGAAGACTACAGCATTCACTTGTCAAAACTTGGACGGTGAGACAAACTTATTTTACCTATGCTTACTTAACTAGTGTTGTTTTTTTTTGCCGATGCTCATGCTTATTATAACCGCTGGGTCTGTTTTTAAAGGGGGAAAATCATCGATTGACTTGTCCCGCCTGGGTGACGCGGGAGAGTGTCAGACTCTTACTATCTAAAAACCACCCCGTTCCTACTCCTGCACTTCGAGCCGGATCTCCGGATCTTACAATCTCTATGTATCTAAATTACATTTTTTATCTTTTCCCCAGACCACAGACCTATCGACCCACCTCCTCAAATTTGGCTGGACAGACGCAGCATCAATTCTATCAGACAATGAGATAGATGGAGAGTCTCTCTTCATGGTCTCCAAGAACCAACTCGTCCTCATTGGATTAGAGGAGGACCAAGCTGAATGCATTGAGGAGTTTCTCCAAGGAGGCCCTAAATGAATTTGAGGTGTGGTAAAACTGTTCTTATTGTAGAAGGACTAATGTTGATAATTGATTGTTGTTATTGTAAATGCGACGGTTTAGTTAGATGTTTTTTGAACTTTAAGGCTAGAACAGCTGATTAGATTTGGATGGAATTTAACTGATACTCAACGATATGTATTTCGTTAAAATGAAAAATAACTAACTATGTCTATATCTTTACTTTTGGTCTTCTGTCTTTTTTAAAAATTCATCAAATCAACACAGCAATTTAAGTACTAAAGAATGTTCACAAACAAACTAGCTTTCGCATTTATTAAGTAACATTTTCTTTAGTCTTCTTATAAGAAGACGGTTACTGTTTTTAAAAGACCATTTGGTCTTCTTGTGGATTCAAATTTTATGTGTCTACTAAAACAGCTTTATTGGTATTTTGGTCTACTCACCAATAGACCTTGAATTTCATTGGTAGTAGCAGCAGTTTATTAGTCTTTTCGCCTACTCAATCTTATTGATGTATTCTCACTGGTCTTTTGGTCTACTGAGTACGAGACCTTAAAATCAAATCATGAGAAGATTATAATTGAAAATTATCATCGTAATTAAATAGTAGTTACTTGGTATTTCCAAAAGACCAATGAGACTGTCTTACCAAAATAATGTTTTTGACTAAAATACGTAATGTGATGTATACAATTTTTTCAAAATCTTATTGGAGATTAAACATTGAATTCTGTTATAAAATAATAATAGTTTAGAAAAATGTGTAAAGCAAGTCGAAAAGGGCAAAGAAAAGAGATGGTTTTAAAAAAAATACTATTTTTTTGAATTTTTATAAAAACTATCGTGAGAAATACTAAATTACTAACCTAACAGTAAGCTGCGCGATATCGCCGCGACCGCGCACGCTGCTCATGAGGAAGAACCCCTCTGTGGTTCGAAACTAGTAGAGCTTTCTCAGTATATTCACGTGGGTAACCCGCGACTTTTAGTTTACGTTTTTGAGTGATCACAAGAGCGACTTCTGAACAAAAGATTTCAGGATCATTTGTCAGTTAAAGTATATCATAGTTGTTACAGGTTTTTGAAGCACAACTATATTTTTTTATTAATTCAATAAATTTCTTATTTCTTTGCCCTTTTTGCCAGCACGCAAACAATAGTAAAACATCATTAAACACGATCACGAAAAAAAAAAATTAAATAGTAGCAAACATTTTCACCGCTCAATAAGGAACCTTACTTCATATGTCAGTAGAGTCGATATTCTCTTGTCTTTGGAACTATGTGTTTTATAAAAGCCTTTATAAGGCTTTTTATAAAATTTTCTAGAATATACTATTGTAGTTACGGAAGAAAAACGTTGGATTTATGGTTCGACTTGATTAAGAATTTTTATGCGACAAATAGATATGTGACTTAAATATATGCGTTCAAAGTTGATATTTCAATGACAGCGTATCAAACGTCTACATTTTGTCAATATTTACATAGATGTGACGTCATAACTACAATGTCACGGCGACCAACGTTCACTAACGTAATTACAATTCTCTTATAATATTGATTTTTGTAATAAAATTATCAATTTTAGCACTGAATCTGAACTGCGAACTGGAATCTATTTTTTTTTCTCTATGTCTGTGTCTATTGTATCTTTTTGTCGCATATAAATTATTTGATATTTACTGAAAAAGGAATAGTTTGATGTCAATTGTAAATACTTTGGTTTTAGAACAATTTTATTATCGTGTCTAGGTAGGTAGTGTTGCATTTACCTCTGGTACTCATAGACGACGCTGGTGGCATACCCTCAGGAGATCCGTCTGCTCATTTACCGCCATCGGCCTTCCCAAATACATTTTGATAAACTGGCGTACGTGCCTACACGTAGACATTCAAAACGTCATACGTATAATCGGTATAATGTTGCCTGTTTATAAAGTTAAATCTCCCTTAAAAAGCGGGGAGATTTGCATACACATCACGATGAGATTGTTTTGTGTATAAAAAAAATCTAATATTATTTTTCTCAATAATAAATTACTACACTATCTACTTAGACATGGTAATCTTAGAACAGCATGCCAACTTACTACAGTCTGTCAATTTTCATTATTGCATTTTCGTCGTTATTACAAATTCATAAAGTTATGGATTCATTGGCAGATGGATTGTTATGTTGACCTGGTGTTCACTAACGACCAGTTTCATGAACCTATTTAACTGTAGATTTTTTACTAAAGAATATTGAAATTAGTTCCATAGTAAATGTTCTACCTCTAGTTAAAAAATCTACAAGTAGATAGTTTATTGATACTCTATGATACTGTGTAAATTATACGATAAATGTCAAATTTTAAATCTGAATGTTTGTTAGTCTATTACACGTAACAGCTGAACTAATTTGGATGAAATTCGATAAAAATATAGATAATATCTACTATTCTAACTTCGGATGTATATTTCCGGAGATGTTTTCGGTTCCAAATGGAATCAGGGTGTATACGTTAGAAAATGTAAATAATAATTTAGTGTGGCAACACTATTAGTCGATTTTGAACGAAAATGTTCGAAATATCATTCGGATGACGGAATTTTAATTTCATTTTTTACTTATGTAAGGCCGCAGGGAGCTGCTGGATTTAGGTCGCTTTCAACCGACTGATCAGTCGTAGGGGAGGCCTATGTTCAGCAACGACGTCATGTGGATGATCCTTTGTGAAATATCGTGTAAGATGTCTAAGATGTATCTGTCTGTCTAATACCGAATGTATCACTTGGTCACAATTGTTTTTCTATTGTTTTGTGTTCAAGCGATCTGTCTGTTGTTTGCATATGTCATAAAAAGGAGTTTGTATGTTTGGTACAAGGGGCCACCTTTCCGGGGCTGCGGAGAACCTTGCGGATCATCTGGTTTTTAGTCAGTAAAAGTCTGACACTCTCTCTCTCGCCTCAGTCGAGGCGGAAGAAGTTATTGGATGATTCTCTTATCACAAAAAGGGGTCGCTTTTGAAGACGTAATGAATGAATGTAATGGATGCTAAAGGTATGTAGGAATCGTAATTGATGGCGTGCTGTGGTATTATTCCTTTTTTTTAAGAGGGGAATATCATAGAATGGCTTCTCCCGTCTGGGTAAGGCGGGGGGGGGGGGGAGTGTCAGACTCTTGACTAAAAACCACCCCGTTCCTACTCATGCACTTCGAGCCGGAGCCCCGGTAACCCGTTAGGTTCTCCGCGGCTCCGTATCCTACTGGGCCCCATTCGTGGTGGTCTGATGGCTTTTGGCGCGCGGAACGCGACGCGCCGTACGCTTGGATTATTACTTATTTGAGTTGTAATTTTGTGTGTCAATTTGTAAATATTGTTTTAAAATATCGATTTACAATTTCAAATTATCAATTTAAGAATTTCGCATTTTGCTTTATTCCGACATTCGAATGGTTATGCAAATTATGGATGTAATAAGTATGTACGTATTTTAATTAAAATTTATTGTCGAAATTGCAATTTTAGTTAATCATGTTTTATGAAAATGATGTTTTGTTAATTGTAATAGCGGTCGATTTGATCGACCAAATCTCAAATAATTTCGTACAGCTAAGGAAATGTCAGTGGAAATGAATATCAACGTAAGTACTTCGCCTTAGTGGTCATTTTCGTGTGTCAAAAGTAACTTTTCTGCTGACATATTTTTGGCCCTTTTTATCTTAATTGTACAGCTAGTTTGTTTAAGTGATACACTTATTTATATTCTACAATAATTTTATCCTGTACCTATTTTTGTAACGAATTGTAAATATTAATTTTAAACAAAAATAAAAATCTATGAATTATTTTTGAAACATTTATTTAAACACTGTTACATACAAAATGTTTTTTAAACCAAACGGTTATTTCTAATATTACAAGTTAACATTTACGTTTTAAATCCATTAAGACGACACTCATAATCCTCTATAACTTTGTAACAAACATAAAAAGAAAAACAAAGAGAATACTAAAGTCTACAGCTCCAAAAAGGACATCACTATTACAAATACAAACAAAACTACAAAAAACATAAAAGAACAAAAATCGACTACCAGTTGTAATATAGTCGATTACCAAAGCACAACACTAATTTCTCCTCGTCGTCTTCCCCATAAAATTTACTACTTGAGCGAACGGCGCGAACTTGCCGCGTCTAGATCGTTTCTTTAGTCCGAGCTCCTGTAGTACATCATCTGATTCTGCGACTGAAGAATCCATGTTTTTAGACGCTATATCCTCTGAATAATCTTCACTGTCATTTTTCTCAGTGTCTGATACCTCTCTGAACTTTCTACTATAATCTATTTTACTTCTAGCTAAGGTTGGATCTCTCCGTTTCATTTCTGGTGAGCCGAATTTTGGGTGATCAGACGGCTGGCACATTAAAGTGTCGTAAAAGTATCGGTCCGCTCGGCCGTCGGTTTTCGGCCTGGCCTTTTGTTGTTCATCGTCGGAACTCTCGTTCGACGAGTGTAACTGTGGCGAACCTGGGGCTGACTTCTTGTGTAATCTTTGGCTGAGAATAAAATAATTAAATTATACTAAAGAATAAAATGTTAAGACTGGTACTACTTCTCTATTCAAAGGCACCCCACAAAGGATAATTGAAAAACTAATTTCCAAAAGATAATTTTCACTAATGATGTTACTTCATAAGTAATGTGTTGGTTGTTGATGACGATGATAATGATAGGTCCTTAGTCTTACCATCGCTTGATATCGCTGACAACCATCGTGGGCCGAGGAGACTGAGGTTGGAAGACGCCTGTAGCTGCAGCAGCCTCGTCACCACCTACCGGCGGCTACATGCAAAATTCTTTTTATTAAATTGCAAAACAAAGCTACGCACGCATAATTGACAAAAATATTTTTCTGTGGCAACACTATAGTTTGGTACACAATTTTAAAAATAATTATTAGTAACAGTTGTTTTGAATTACAGTAGGTATTTATACACTAACAATTTTAGTAACTTCAACCGACAGCTCTAGCTAGATATACAATAAGTACCCGTTGAAATCCATCCCCTAAATTTGGTCATACAAAAGTAGTCTCTAAACATTGGAAATAAGGTCTCTAATGTAATGTAATAGTAGTGGAGAGCGGTCACCGGTGACCGCTTGGGGATATATGGGCATCTACATTTACGGCAGCATATGCGCACCCCCATCATATAGATGGTTGGCAGGCCACAATTGTGCGTTACTCACGTAGCTTTCTTTCTCGCACAGCAAAACTGAGGAAGGATCTGTCATCGGCGATATTTCCGAACCGATACGACCTTCAAAACTTTAAGAAAAGAGCGTATTCCTTTTTGAAATGCCGGCAACGCCCCCGTGACTCCTCAGGTGCGGGTTGCGGGTGTCCATGGGCGGTGCTGGTCGCTTACCATCAGGTGATCCGTATGCTCGTTTGCCTCCTATTCCATAAAAAAACCAACATTTGACATCGTCCTTTAGTTTTAATTCTTAATAATCTTACCTTAGAAGATAGATGGAAGTAGCAGTGTGTGACTCTCTCGACATCAGCCCACGCGACGATGTAACGTGCCATTGTCAACGGTATCTTCGGCAAGAAGTTTGAATGGAACTTGCCCTGGCAGTAGATTGTGATCACGTCCGTGTCTTTAATCTCGAAGATTATACGGAATATTGTGCCTGGAAAAATATTTGTATACCTAGTCAATGTATGTGCACCTCGCCTACCCCATCGTGGATAAAAGTTATGTTTTTTTATGCTAGTCAATGTAGTTTGCACTGCCTAAGATAGGGCAGAAGTCGCAACCCTCAGTCGAGGCGTTGAGGAAAAACGACACAAGGAGGATAAGCCGATAATAATAAATAATAGTTTTTGATTTTGTTAGTGTTTAGCAGATAACATGGAGCAGTTGGAGAAGTGACTAGGCAACTGGCTGTCACACAAAGTGTTGCTTGAATCGCTGACGGAACAATGTGATTCCGAAAATGGAAAGTTAATAATAGTAACTTGGGATGGGACTAACCTGGCACAAACATATTATAGTTGGTATCATAGTTGCCGCTACCGATCCAGATGCCGTTCTTCCGTGACAAGGAGATGATGTTGTCTCGATGGAACCTCACGTCGAAGTGGAGTACCACGTCGCGAGGCTCCTCACCCTCCTGCGCACACAGGTTCACCGACATTCTGCAGGTGAGACAGACAGTGAATTAAGTTCAGTAGGCGTGTGGTACCGGCAGAGAAGAACAAATGCTCGCACAAACAGTGCGGCACGGCACCACGGCCTCACAGAAAACCGTCGTGAAACAACGCTTGCATTATTTCAAAGTCAACGTCAAAGCCAAATCATTTATTTCAATGAGACCAGAAAGGCACTTTTGAACGTCAATCGTCAACAAAAAATTAAAAGTGAAGGTATTTGGTCATTCCAATGTGTAAATTCCTATGGAGAAGAACGAGCAAGAAACTCCATGGTTTTTATGTTATTGTTTCGTCGTGTGAGGGAGGTTACCGGAGGCCCAATCATGCCCCGCTTCCCCAATCCCAATATTCCCAACAATCCTCTAAACCCCGATAGGCCGGTAACGCACTTGTAACCTATGCCTCTGGTGTTACAGGTGTCCATGAGTGGCGCCGATTGCTTACCATCAGGTGATCCGTCTGCTCATTTACCGGCTATCTCATAAAAAAAATATTTGTTGCCACATCTCTTCCTACTGGTGTTAAATAAGAGACATTTGACAAAGACCAAGCAACAGCGACCTTTAATAATCCTTAACAAAGTACGATCCCCAGCTTGCCAAGCAAGGAGATTATGGTAAACCCTCATAATATGTAGTGTAGAGGAGGTCCATGGCAGTAGACACTTACAGGTCACGGGCTGTCGATGATGATCGTGAACCGATCAACAAGGCTCCCGAAAACTAGGCTACAATATTAACACTAGCAACACTTACTTGCGAGCATTCTCTTTAATTTTACCCCCGATTTCGATTCTGTCACCAACTTTGAGGATTCCGGGTATGTTAGCGGTGAAGACCGGCATTTTTTACAATTAATCTCTATGTTATATCTACTATAGCCTGCCCCAGTGATCATTAAGTCAGGGCCAGTTGTGATAATGGACATTTTGAACGACAAATTTAAACATTACACTATTGTGTATGTAAGTAAATGTTTTTGAAACCTCTGATGATTTTTGGTTATAATTGACGTCTGCCACGTTGACAAACACTCTAGCTTCGTATAACTTCTTTTTCTTGTATTTGTTTTTATTCAGCGTCTGGTTTTGATAGAAGGTTTAGTTATTTAAAGGTTGCAGTTGAAAATATTAGCCTCTTTTGTTTTTTGATATCTAAAACATTGGTATTCTTCTGCTTGTCGATTCCTTCCTTCCCCTTTACGCCGACAGTTAGCGTGTCATGTGCGGGAAGAGTACATATATGATACTCTGATTTTATTTATTTCAAAATCGACGGTAAAAATATAACATCATAAAAACATCACCAACAGAAAAATGTATTAGTGGTGGGTAGATAATATTCCACATCAATGCATCAATAGATGTAGACTGTAGCTAATAAATAAATAGGCGTAGAATAATGATGATGAGCATTTGTTGGTAAAGTTATTATTAGTTAGTAAAGTTGCAACAGAACAGAACTAATATTCAGAGCAAGTTCAGAGCTACATGATGATATTAGAGGTTTTACATATTTATCTATATGAAGAGGTTTCTTTTAGGATGTAGGTATTTAGTGGCTGTGGCACCGAACTCGAATACAAAAAACGTATCCAAAAATAGTAAGTCTTCCTTTCTTTGAAGTCGGTAAAAATATTGCCACAATTTAAAATATTCCCGAAATATGGGATTAAGCTGTAAAGAACAAAAAAATATCGTTTTGTTATAAAGCTACAGCTTATTGAATAGGCTGGTGCCTGTAAATCTATTAAAACTACATAGAATATGTTAGCAAGAAAGTGCCATTTAGCTGTCTAGAATAAGCTGGTCATGAAAAATGTTTTAGAAGCGATAATATACTGAAGATTCTTGTGATTTCAGTCCAAATATAGGTATAATATTCGTCTATTCCATTCAAAATGATCTAACAAAACATAACAAACCATTTCTAGACACGGGAGAACTATGTTTTACTTTGGCAACACAGAAGTCTCCAGCGAAGAAGTGAGAAAATGTCATCTGTCTGTTGGTCCAACCCAACTAATTTGTCATTTCAGTTTGACAGTTGTGTCCGTGGGTAACCTAAAGTACTATTTTTGGAAAAATAATCACATTTTTAAACCATATTCATTAAGTTTTATGTGTGAATAATCAATAAGAAGTGTTAATTTTATAACTGAAAATAATTAACAGTAAGTTTTTTTAATAATTCCCTTATTTTCAGGCAATTAAATGATGCAAGATTGTATCAAATATTAACAATACTGTATCTATAAAAGTATTTGTTTATTCTTACATTAGCTTACGTGTTAAGATTTCTAATTCAATACACTTCTAATTAGACACAATTATTGTGTTCAAAACTAAGAATTTTTTCGTAAAATGCTTATCAGAGACCGGCACGTGAACGATGCAAATTAATTCGAAACTCGAAGAACTACAATAAATAAAATGTAAAATGACAAGTTTATCATATTGATAACCTGTGCATATCCTTTCCAATGCGGTTTCTGTGATAATTTCGTGTTATTTGTACTTAGTTTAGTAGTGAACATTATTTACCTACCTACTTATACATAATAATGTATACTTTAGCATTGTTAGGTCTAAAATGATGTCACAGAATTAAACATTTATTGCATGATGCAACTAAGTGTATCTGAGTTGTAATTCATCAGAAGTTGCATGTAATTGAAATATACTGAACTGACATTTTGTATTATCAATTTTATTTTGTTGCAATATTTATTATGGTTTTATCTTATCATATACCTAGTTGTGATAAATAAACACTAATGTTAAATACCAACTTTTTCCTTCTGTGGTATTGTCTGCGGGCAAAGACTACTAGACTTGTCTCAAGTACCTATGTAGGTGCATATCCAGTATGAATATCAGGATCATAAGTTGTAAAAAATGTCGTGGTGGCCCGGAGGTTTAAGACGCCCACTTCTCATGCATGAGGTGTAGGTCCAAAACCTACCAACGGCATGTACCACTATGACTTTTTCCGAATTATATTTATTTTCTAAGATCATTTAGACACCACTGACAAATGCTTGATGTTCAAAAGTGCCTGCCATAATTGAAATAAATGATTTTGACTTTCGGCTTTTCTGTCACCATTCTGGTATAAAAAAACTGTATGATGATTACCGTAAAGTATTGACAGTCATGGAATTATAATAGCATTTGTGAATAGGACCATCAAATTTTTACTTTGACCTTGGCTGAACGGTTGCCGTGTTGGCTGAGCAACTGGCAGCCGCTCTATGTGTCGCGGGTTCAATTCCCGCACGGAACAACTCTTTGTGTGTTCCGGTTGTTCCGGGTCTGGGTGTCATGTGTATGTGAACTTGTATGTTTGTAAACACACCCACGACACAGGAGAAAATGCTAGTGTGGGGCAACGTTAAAAAAAATGTCTTTCTAATTATTCTAATTGGAAGTTCCTGACTGTTGCTATACACAACTTCCTTATAATAAAAATATTACGAAGTGTTAACAAATTGACTGTATTTTTTTCACCTTGATGCTCTTGTTTGTGTATTTTGTTATCGATACCAAATGTTGTATGACAAACATATCAGTAAACATGTGCTGCTTGTATCTTTTTCATACATACACCACGGTGTAAAATGGCACACTCTCCAAAACCGTTGACAGATGATGGTCAAACTTAACATCACGCCTTTTATCCCCGAAGGGGTAGGCCGAGGTGCATATTTCGACACTGCCTCCACTGTACAATGTAACACCCACTTCACTATTTATGTATATTATGAATTCCATGTAATAGGGGGTGAGCCTATTGCCATAGGTACACACAAGTTTTATTTTTGTAATATAACCTTCGTGAGACATACTAAATAAATTATTATTGTTTTCGGCTTACTCACGTAACTGTTTGGCGAGGAACTCGACTAGTTTCAAGACATGCTAGAGGGTAATATTTATAAGCAGCATTCCGCGACTCCCGACGCGGCGACTGGCACGCTGCTCTAATGGCTACTCGAGTCTGCGGGCCCAGCGCGCCCTCTGCCGTGATTCACGCACACTTTCCTCGCGGCCGCGCGCGCGACACTGTTGGTACTACGCTAGACTTGCCCGCCCCGATAGCTGCGTTGGTGTTGAGTTCGAATCCCGGGTCGACGCAAAAACAGTGTAACATACCGCGCTCACTGTGTCTCACTACAGACCCGCAACACTGTAGTCTGACACAGATTCTGACTCGGCTTCCAGGCAGGTGGTAATGCCCAGCCACAGTCTCTGTTAAAGTTCGGACGGCGGCCGATTTATTTAAATACTAGCTTTTACCCGCGGCTTCGCTCGCGTCACAAAGGAATAAATAGTAGCCTATGTGACATATACCAATACACACAGCGCCATCTATACCAATACTTTTGTTTTTCCTCGGGAATAACAATATTTTCCGGGTTAAAAAGTACCCTATTATTTAATCCGGACTTCTAACTTTACGTCTGCAAAAATTCAAAGCAATCGGTTGAGTAGTTACGGCGTGAAGGTGGAACAAACAAACAAACTCACTTTCAGATTTATAATATTAGTAAGGATTTGATGGGCCGACGTTTGACCACTATCTCGCCTGGTGGTAAGCGATCATCGTCCCATAAGCAACCTATTCACTCAGGCCTTGAAGACACCCAGGTCTCTCTTCAGGAAACACAGATTCTGGCAAAAAATTCCACTCCACAGCATTACACACAATATAATCGAATTTCTTTAAAGTCATCAAAACATCTTTACACAGACATCATCACAAGATGGTAGTATCAGAGGAACAGCCCCCAGCAGTGGAAGGAGATGCGGCCGCCAGCAAGAAGGCGGCCAAGAAAGCTGCCAAAGCTGCTGAGAAGCAGCAGAAGAAAGCTGAACATAAGGTAATTATTGAATTTGTTAGTAAACACTGCATTTTGTTTGCGATAGGTATCCCTTGGCCGCTACTCGCCTTGTAATGGTCTAGCATAATGTTGTATATCCTAATCCTACATTCTATTTATTAGATACAGATTATTTCTTTATTTTATACTTACACATACAGAAAAAATAGTTTACATTTTAATGGTAGTTTGAGAAAGGCGGTCTTATTAATTTTTTAAAAAGAATTTGGGAATGGGTTCTTTGTAATGTAAACAAGTATTTAATGTAAAAGTAATGTATAAAATGTAAAAGTATTTATAATGTAAAAAAGGACACGAAACTGTAATTAAATTAAAAAAATGTATTAAATAAGAAATATTAATTAAAAAAGAGCGCGGGCGCCTACGCCTGCGGCAGTTGTTTAAAGAAAATGTAAGAGGAAAAAGACAACAATAGTAGAATAATCATCATCACATCAGGTAGAAGATGTCCACTGCTGATCATAGATCTGCCATGGTTACATAACTCCCAGATTGTTTGACTGAAAACATTCTCTGAAAGCAGACTGTATTCAGTCCACCTGCAGTAGTCTTAACCCCTCGAGCGTCCTTATGAGAACCCGGTGGATCATAAGAAAAATGCTCCAACTGACACGTGTGCACCCGTTGGATCATAAGGAACGCGGACGCTCGACGGGTTAAGTGTCGCTGTAAGCGAGCAAGAGGTCTGGTCTGGGTGCTTACTCTTGAATCCAATTCCGATCGATCGCCATTGGTATTGTGAAATTTCGTACTCTTGAGTTGCAACACTAGCGCCCATAGCGTCCGTATTGCATGGATATTGAATGAACTAAATGGTATTGAGTTTTAATAGCTACGATAGGGGTTGTATAGTTTTGACATTGAATAATTATTGAGATTTTATTGGATTGAAATTGCATTAGCATTGAGATTGGTTTCAAGAGTAAGCACCCAGGTCTGGTCACTTCACCCTCACAAATGCTGACAATATAGGGGCCGTTCAAGTATTACGTAAGCACCAAGGGGGGGTGGGGGGGTCTCTGTTTTGCTTATTTTGGATGACATGGGGGGTGGGGGGGGTCTAGATGATGATTACGTCATCGTTAGTTATTCAAGTTTTTTCGGGGATTCCCGCAAATAATACATATGCGTAGGCACTCGCTTTGAGAACTGATTAGGGGAATTACCGCGCATTAGGGAAATTACCGTGCGCTATTCACTTGTCTAATAATTCGCTCTCGTGCCGGCCGCAAATGATATGACTATCATATAGACAAATCCAAGTTATACCAAAAACTGTTCGAAAGTTTTAAAAAATCTCATACTGGGACAAAATCGGATGAAAATGAGCAGACTCACAACACTGAGCAGCAATCCAATGTCATCGATAACTTAGAATCATGGATTCAGGTTTCATGGACTGAAGACTGTTAATGTGTTCCGAAAATATTCTTTATGTTAGTTATGTTCTTTATTTCTGATTATATTTTTTGTCATTTACTCTATGTGTATCAGTTAAACCTAATATTTCCATGAATTTTCCTATTTTAAAAATAACAATATAAAAAAACATTTATTACTAAAAATGTTTACGTAAGCATAGGGGGAGGGAGTAAGTGCTTTGCTTATTTTTTATGACAAGGGGGGCGGGGGGGTAAAAAATGGTAAGAAATCTGCTTACGTAATACTTGAACGGCCCCATACTGGTTGTTGTTTCAGGTGTTGCTTACTTACTATCAAGTGATCAGTCTATTTGCTGTACTATTCTATTTTTTTTATGGCATAAGCCGGTAAACGAGCAGACGGATCACCTGGGGGCTTACTCTTGAATCCAATTCCGATCGATCGACATTGATAATATAAAATTTCGTACTCTTGAGTTGCAACACTAGCGCCCATTGTATCCGTATTGCGTGGATATTGAATGAACTAAATGCTATTGAGTTCGGCTTTATATTCCGTACTCTAAATATTATATTAATAGCTAGGATAGGGGTTGTATAGATTTGACATTGAATAATTATTGAGAATTTATTGGATTGAAATTGAATTGACATTGAGATTGGTTTCAAGACAAAGCACCCTGATGGGAAGCAATCGGCGTCGCCCATGGACACCTGGAACACCAGAGGCGTTACAAGTGCGTTACCGGCCTTTTGGGAATTAGGAGTTTGTGGATCGTTGGGGATTCAGGAATTGGGGAGATTGGGGAAGGGGAGGGTAATTGGGCCTCCGGTAACCTCACTCACACGACGAAACACAACGCAAGCATTGCTTCACGTCGGTATCACTCCGGTCGAGCCGGCCCATTCGTGCCGAAGCATGGCTCTCCCGCACTTAAATTACTGTATTTTTAAATATGTACTTTTCTTCGTCCCCAGGCTGCTTCCGGCCAACCACAATCAGAAGCAACTGAGCCAGATGTATCAGAAGGCCGGTATGGACAGCTGAAGCTGATCCAGTCGTCTGGAGAACACAGGGACAGGGTGTACACAGATGTAAAGGACCTCACTGTCAAGCTCAATGGACAAAGCGTGTGGGTGAGAGGTAAGATTCAACTATGTAATTTTGATTATTATATTGTACTAGCTGACTCTAGACTAGGCTTTGATGAACGTAATACAATGATACAATATAAATATGAACATATATTTGTATTGTAACTTTCGTGAGACATATTAAATAAATTATTATGTTTTCGGCTTACTCACGAAGTAATTTGACGAGGAACTCGACTAGTTTCAAGCCATGCTAGAGGCTCATATTCATGAGCAACATTCCGCGACCCGCGACGCGGCGACTGTCGCGCTGCTACTGACACTGTAGACTAATATGAACATAGATAGATATATAAAAGTATTTTATTATTATGAAAATATGAACAATACATACAGAAATAAAATAAAAATCAAGTACTTCAAATCTAATTTTGAAACCTGGTCTTATAATTTCTAATTATATAAGTTTGAAATCGGCAACCGCATTGAGCAAGCGTGGTGATTAATATATAATCAATAATAATCAATAATCAATTTTATTTCAGACTTAGTCCATATTTGTTAGTAACAATGTTCTTAATCTAGTGTTAGTAAAAATACACACAATAATCAGAGACAATAATAACATACAAATAAATAAATGAGTAATAAGTTAGTAACAATATTCTTAGCCGAGTGTTAGTAAGATACATAGATATACATATATACTTGTGATTAAGTCAGGCACTTGCTCTCACGTGTAGGCCTATCCAGTGCGCCATCAGCACCGAATCCCAGCGTCCGGCACACGCGGCCAGCATGCCGCTAGGGCTGCCGCGCACTCGCGACATCATCGATGCACAGCGCTTACGCATGATGGCATGGAAGCCATCCACATGCGCCTCCGCGAACATGCCACTCGCACTACAGTAACGCGGCAGCCCCATCAACACCCTGAACGCGTTGTTGTACTGAACCCGGAGGGCGTTGTACGTCCCCTGCGTGTATTTAGCCCACAAACTGCATGTGTAAAATGTTTGGCAGAATGCCCTAAATAGTGTTACTTTCACTTCTTGGGCACAACGAGCGAACCTTCGAGCCAACATATTACAGCGGACACACAACGCCCTACGTTCTCTCGCAATGTCCATATCGTCCTTCAGGTCATCGGTAACCCAGTGGCCCAGATACTTGAAATGTGCTACTCGGTTTAAAGGCGTACCATAGAGTGAGACAGGTGGTATGTCTGAGAGATTCTTTTTTAATGCCTTAAAAACCATAACCTCACTCTTCTTTACGTTGTATCTGAGCCCATGAGCCTCCGCATACCTTTCACACGTACGAAGCAGCCTTCGCAACGCGCCGATTGATGGACTGAGCAGCACCATGTCATCCGCATAACTAATATTATTTACGCAAACGCCATCTATGTGACATCCAACTCCTGTGCTGCTCAGCTCTCCAATCAAGCGATCCATGTACAAGTTAAAAAGTTTAGGCGAGGTCAGCCCCCCCTGCCTCACCCCGCACTCCAACCTGTACTCGTTCGATGTACTATCACCCCATCTAATAGTATTTTTCTGATTGTTATACCAATACTGGAATATTGATATAACCTCAGGACACAAACTAGTGTCTTGTCGCATCTTTTCCCACAATAGATCGTAAGAGACCATATCAAATGCCCGTGAGAGATCCAGAAAACAAGCGTATACAGGTGTCCTCCGTGCGGTATAGTAGTGAACGGTTTGCTTTTGTTTGCGGTTTGATTAATGCACAAACCTTCTATATGAGAAGCTTTGCTCAGCAGTGGGTATTTATAGGCTGTTGATGAATGATAATGGTTATTCTGTTTGTCCATCAGCTCGACTCCAAACCTCCCGTGCTAAGGGCAAGCAGTGCTTCGCGGTGCTGCGACAGAGCAGTAGCACCGTGCAGTTGCTGGTCAGCGTCAGCGAGGAGAGAGCCGTCAGCAAGCAGATGGTCAAGTTCACTGGCACGTAAGTAGTAATAGTTTATTATGTATCTTTATTCTTCTACGGACTTCGGCGCGTTCCCGGACATACAGACAGACAGAGAGACAAAAATTTTTTTAATCACATTTTTTGGTTTCTGTGTGTTACACCTAACTTTTTTTTTAATATTTTCAATGTACAAAATTTACCCTTTTACAGTTTTTTTTGCTTATATACAAGGGTGCCAAACTCCCTGTCCGAGCGAGATACAATATGTTGTATAACGCTTTAAATACCAGGTAGATGTTTAAAATTATTTGCTTAGGATTTACTAAATAAATTAAACTAGCTTCTGCCCGCGACTTCGTACGCGTAATCCCATTTTTGCCCGTCCCCGTTCGTGATTTCTGGAAAAAAGTAAAAAAAAAATTTTGGTAAAAAAGTATCCTATGTCGGTCTCCTGGCTCCGCTGGCTGGTAAAAAATGGTAGGGAGGTAGTAAGCTACCTCCCTACCAATTTTCAGCCAAATCTATTCTGCCGTTCTTGAGTTATAAGTAGTGTAACTAACACGACTTTCTTTTATATATATATATATATATATGAGAGAAGTATATGTACCTATACCGGTTGCTTGGCGCATGGAACGACACAATGTTTTTCAAGAACGTTTCTGTTGTGGGTCTAGTGGTCCAAAATAAATTTTGTTGTAAACTTCAAAGTCTATATTTTTTTTATGAGATAATCCGGAAAACGAGCAGACGGATCACCTGATGGTAAGCAATCGGCGTCGCCCATGGACACCTGGAACACCAGAGGCGTTACAAGTGCGATTAGGAATTTGAGGATTGTTGGTGATTCAGGGATTGGGGAAGGGGGGGGGGCATTCATACCGAAGCATGGCTCTCCCCCACTTAATATTTAATCTACATAGATCTTTGTTTGACACAAATCAAAGAAAAAAAACCTTACAAGCATACAAAATTTAATTTTTCATTCACACGTCCTTAATTTTACAATTTCAAAACTAATTATAAAAAATAAATAAAAGCTATTTTGAACTTAATATATAAAAGTTCCTTAACTAATATCCTTTCTAACAGTATTCTACAAGTCACAGAAATTATTAATTATACTGTAACAATACGGGTTCCTACTTTGCCGTACCTGTATTTTTACGGGAAGAATACAATAAACTTGTATTAACTAAAAATCGGGGGTTACTCACGTGAATATACTGAGAAACGAAGAAACTACTCTACTAGTTTCGAACCACAGAGGGGTTCTTCCTCGTGTTCAGCGTGCGCTAAGTAACCCGCGATTTTAAGTTCATTTGTATGTCCCACAATAGTTATTATAAAGACAATAAAATTATAATTGAAACACTAATAGATGAAGCTTAACGAACGAAAAATTTATTTCTTAAAAAACAGATACAAGCATTGGCCATAGACAATACACATACAACTTTTATTTTATACCATAGATATATTTTGATAAAAAAAAAAACTAACCAAAGTTATCGACATAGCCCAAAGGATCAGTAAGCGGAAGTGGCAGTGGGCCGGTCACATTTGTCGAAGAACCGATAACCGTTGAGGTAAACGTGTTCTAGAGTGGAGACCGCGTCTAGGCAAACGCAGTGTAGGGCGCCCTCCAGCTAGGTGGAGTGACGACATCCACAAGGTGGTTGGATGAGAAGAGCTGAAGAGCGAGCTCAGTGGCGTACCATTGGAGAGGCCTATGTCCAGCAGTGGACGAATACAGGCTGATAATAAAACAAAAATAACAAAAATTATATTGTTTGGTTATATTGCTTCTCTGACGATACAGTGGGTGTCCATGATCAGTGTTCGTTGTTCACGGTTCGTTTATCCATAATTTACTTTTGTAATTTCTTCTTGTACATACTTCTACTTGCAATTGCCCCAATAGTGGCATTCAATTGAATCCTCGGTTGGCATAAACCAATCTTGACGTTTTAAACGCGATAAAACTGAAAGTAAGATAATAAAATTAATATTAATAACCATTATTTGCTGGCAAGGGGTCTCGGGTTCGATTCCCGGGTCGGGCATAATATTACAAGGTTATTTAAAAAAATCTTAGTAGTAGCACGGAGTTTGGAATTGTGTCCGGTATATGGCAATAGGCTCACCCCCTATTACATGAGACTCGTAACATAAATAGTGAAAAGTGGGTGGTTAAATTATACAATGGCATAATGTACACCTCTGCCTACACCTTCGAGGATAAAAGGCGTGATGTTATGTTATGTATGCATTTTAAAAAGGTTCATATGCGTGGGAAAACCTTCAGCACGAAAGAGCTGGCTCGAACGGAGTGATGCCACGGTCTCATACAAAACCGACGACGTGAAACAACGGTGGCGTTGTGTTTCGGAGGCCCAATTATCCCCCTCCCCTTCCCCAATCGCCCCTATCCCCGAATTCCAAACAATCCTCAAATTCTTAAACCCCAAAGACCTGTAACGCACTCGTAACGCCTCTGGTGTTCCAGGTGTCCCTAAGCGACGCCGATTGCTTACAATCAGGTGCTCCGTCTGCTCGTTTACCGGCTTATCGAATAAAAAAACTTGACGGGAAAGTGTATTGAAGTGAACAGTTCAGAGGCTTTAGCACGAGTTTGTACGTTTAAAGTATTCGAAACGAGTACGCGTTCGGTACTCTGATTGGCCGGCTCCAATGAACCAACCAATCAGAGTGCCAAGCACGAATAACTATCGTATTCGTAACGTAACAGTATCGAGAGCGTTCGGCGCTCTGATTGGCCGGCTCAAGTGAACCAACCAATCAGAACCTTAATTCGCTCGATACTGTTACGATACGGATGCGATAGTTATTCGTGCTTGGCCCTCAGACCGCCGAATGCTGTCTCGTTTCGATTACTGTTAACGTAAAACAAACTGCGAATTTTTGAAACGCTTTTTGTGAACTGACACTCCATCTAGATCTTATATAATCAAAGGTAAAAATATAATTACCATTGTTACTGCGCCTATTGCTATAGTCTGGTGCTGCACTGGCCATCACACTGCTGAACAGCAACAGCATCAGGAAATACAAAATCTTCATGGTAGACCACGACTACTCGATTAGACCGTATGACAAATAGTAATTGGATATAGTTGCGCGAGACAGTTTTATATCGAAAAAAGAACAATTGATAGTTTTTTTTTAAGGATACATTTTTGTTTATTTATTTTTAAATGTATCTAGGATAAATTCAAATTGAATTTAGAATTTAAGGATAATGAAATTGTTTTTAATGCATTTATCTAGTTTTCGATTTATCTAGTTTCATAGTCAACCTCTTTTAAGTTATACTTGCCTAGTTTTGGGCCGATTTATCTAACGTCCGTTCAATTTTATCACAGGAATAACTTTGTATTACCTGAAGGGTATAACCTGGGTGTCTTCAAGGTCCTAGTGAATAGGTTGCTTATGGGACGACGTGCTCCATCGTTGACCACATCATCGCTTACCACCAGGCGAGATAGTAATATAATAATAACTTTGAATATTTGACAATTCTTCCATACTAAAAACTTTCAAATGTTAATTTTATTCTACAGTTAAGAATTATCTGCTCATTGAAAAATTGGCCCTTAATGTTTCAAGAATTTCTATATAGGGTTAGACACGTCCCTTATGAATTTCGTTTACGTCCATTGTGACCCGCAAGTGAAGTCAGAAAGCACACATTATATAAAGTATGGCTCAAAATAACACACTATACATATTCATAATTCATTTTGCAATATCTTCCTTATATTCAATCATCGTTAGATAAACAATATATTAATATTTATGTATCTACATAGAAGTCAACGACTGCACTGTTGGCGCAGTGGCCGGGCAACCGGCTGTCTTCTTCTTCACTATTCCATCTATCTTTCAACAAACGTTCATCAAAATCAATCTAGCTGTTTAGGAGTACTTAACAAACAAACCGACGCAAAACTTTATCTTTTTAAATAGTTTATAAGGGTTTTGTGTGGTCGATATTGTTTTTGATATATTATTCTTCTTTTCGATCGCTTGCTTCATTTCTGAAGGCCGTGCCCCTAACGTCCAATTTCAATAACCTATCTATCTGTAGATTTGCTTACTAGAGATAGAATTTTGACATGAGTTCCATACAAAAAGTATCAAAATTCTATCTCTAGTAAGGAAATCTACAGATAGATAGGTTATAGAAACTGACTCTAAAGGGCTTTCATCGCGCTCTGTGTTATTTCCCTCCATCTTGTCCTGTTTTCGGTTTCTCTCATTGCTTTCGTAACAGAGAGTCCAGTGTAGTTGGTAACTTGGTCACACCATCGGCTAGGTGGTCGGCCTCGTGGTCTTTTTCCTTCCACCTTACCAACAACAACCAATTTGTCGAGGTTATCTGACTGGCGGCGGGCAATGTGACCGAAATATCCAAGAATTCGCTGGTAACATGCGGTCGACAGTCTAGTCTATCTTTACTTCCTTACTTCCTTACTTATATTATAAATCGGAAAGTGAGTTTGTTTGTTTGTTTGTTCCGTCTTCACGCCGTAACTACTAGACCGATTGCTTTGAAATTTTGCAGACGTAAAGTTAGAAGTCTGGATTAAATAATAGGGTACTTTTTATCCCGGAAAAAATTGATATTTCCTAGGAAAATCAAAAATATTGGTATAGATGGCGCTGTGTGTATTGGTATAGATGCTGTATGTCATTTAAAACCAGTCAACTAATTACCTATTTATTGGAAAAATCTTAATAGCGCGATATAAACGAATTCCACGCTAGCGGAAAGCTATTTGTTTGTTTGCCTGTCTTAAATGGCAGAACGGAGGTACTAATTAACATGATTTTTTTAACTGAAGGTAGTTGAACGGATGGATAGTCACATAGGCTACTTTTTATCCTTTTGTGACGCGAGCGAAGCCGCGGGTAAAAGCTAGTATATTGATATATTATAATATGTATGTAAATGGCGTTAAAGTAATAAAAATAATAGGTATGAAATAATACCTATGAAATTGCTCAGGCTCTTGACCAATCAAAGTCAAAAATGTAACACCAAAATCCAGATTTTAGTGTTACCTTGTTCTTGCACAATGGAACCAACAAAACTATGTAACTAGAGAATTGTATTGTGAACCTGATTGAAAAAGAGTAACCTATGGAGTTTCTTGCTCGTTCTTCCCCATAGGAATCTACGCTTTGGAATGTTGAAAAGTGCCTTTCTGGTCTAATAGGGATGATGACAGGGTATGAAAATTTAAAATGTAATTAGTCCGTAAGTTAGGTAATGAAAAAATATTAGACGTATTTTTTTATTTTGTCGTATAAAAAGAAAGAAAGGAAGAAAGAAAAACCATGTATTTCTGCGCAGAACACACATAACATAATTAAATAATAAAAATAAAATAAAACAAAAGCTAAAAAATTTAAAATAAAACAATACTTAGATAAAACGATAAAAGGAGTGGAGGCTAAAACGTCATTTCTACGTATAAAATGTACTTAGAAGCGATATTTCAAATCAATATATCGTCGAAAGTATTCATTTCTGTAAGAAAATAAAAAATACGTGTCTAATGATTTAAAATAATCTATCAGACGGAAATAAAAATTAGGCATCTACCCTAATATTGTTTATTTTATTGTAAGTAGTACTTAAATATCGTGGCATCTCTGTCATTCTCATTTTACAAAGAACACAACTATACTGAATGACTTAAAGTTGAGTATTGTTTGAGTATTTCGACATAGAAGTCCTAAATCCCTTTTCTCTACTTTCCAGTATAACCAAAGAATCGATAATTGACGTGTACGCGACAGTAGTGAAGACGTCCACTCCGATAGAGTCGTGTACAGTGAGTGATGTAGAGCTGGTCGCCGCGCAGGTGTGGCTGGTGTCGGCTGCGCGCGCGCAACTACCGCTGCAGATCGAAGACGCGGCTAGACCCGAGAAATCTGATGTGAGTTTGTTTATTTTATTTGATACTAGCTTCTGCCCGCGACTTCGTACGCGCAATCCCGTTCTTTCCCGTTCCCGTTCGTGATTTTCGGTAAAAAAACAAAAAAAAATTCGATGAAAAAGTATCCTATGTCCGTCTCCTGGTTCTAATCTACCTCCCCTCCAATTGTCATCCAAATCGATGTAGTCGTTCTAGAGTTATAAGTAGTGTAACTAACACAACTTTCTGTTATACATATAGATTACTAGCTTCTGCCCGCGACTTCGTACGCGCAAACCCGATATTTCCCGTTCCCTTTCTTGATTTTCGTTAAAAAGTAAAAAAAAGAATTGGGTAATAAGTATCCTATGTCCGTCTCCTGGTTCTAAGCTACCTCCCCACCAATTTTCATCCAAATCGATTTAGCCATTCTTGAGTTATAAATAGTGTAACTAACACGACTTTCTTTTATATAGAGGTATATAATAGATTATTCATTTTGAATACTGAGTATCTAAATCAATCAGTGCCTATATCGGAAATAGCTTGTCAAAAATTGCTAGTATTTATTTTGAACCTTCTTTTAAACCTTCCTTTCCATCATCGTACCACAAGACAATCGGCGAAGCGTCACCGATTCATGGTGTACTGCTAAGGAATGGAATTCTTTGCCAGAGTCTTTATTTCCTGAAGGGTATAACCAGAGTGTCTTCAACGCCCGAATGAATAGTTTGCTTATGGGACGACGTGCTCCATCGTAGACCGCATCATCACTTCCCACCAAACGAGATAGTGGTCAAACGTTGGCCCATCAAATATATAAAAAACGTTACCTCACACTAGGATTCTCTCCTATGTCGTGGGTGCGTATAGAAACATATACTATACACATAGACATGACACCCAGACCCGAAACAACAATGTGGTTCACACAAGTAGTGGCTCCGTGCGGGAATCGGACCCGTTACACGTTCCGCGGCAGTCGTTTGCCCAGCCATCGTTACAACCGTGGACTTAAAAAATATTATACAGAAAATGATTAGAATACTGCAAGCACACCTAATCAACCATCAACAGTCTGTGTCAAGCCACTGGTGGTAGACCCCTTGTATTCTTCCGATCCTTCAGTAGTAGCACGGAGTCTGGAATTATGGCCGGTATATGGCAATAGGCTCACCTCCTATTACATGGGACTCATAACATAAATAGTGAAAATTGGATATTACATTATGTGCCGTAATGTGCACCTCTGTCTACCTCTTCGGAGATAAAAGGCGTGATGTTATGTTGTTGTTGTTGACATCATATATCTAAATAGATAGAGATAGCTAACACCCAAAATCGATGCCAGCGCCATCTACAATCACCAAAATCCCGTTTTTTTCTTCCAGGACCCAGAAGCCTTAAAGATCCGTGTGAATCAAGACACGAGGTTGGACAACAGAGTACTGGACCTGCGTACTCCAGCCAACCAGGCTATATTCAGGCTGGAAGCAGGCGTCTGTAAGCTGTTCCGAGACCTGCTCACTCAGAGAGGTAATTTCTTTATTGATTTTTTTTCATGGCATAAGCCGGTAAACGAGCAGACGGATCACCTGATAGTAAGCAATCGGCGTCGCCCATGGACACCTGGAATACCAGAGGTGTTACAAGTGCGTTACCGGCTTTTTAGGGATTAGTAGGAGGAGAAAGCTGTCAACCCTATTATAGGGAGCTTGGTATCCTCACAGTGCCTGGACTTTACGTACTGGTACTCATGTCAACCTTAAAGAAATACATTTATTGCTTTGAAAGTGCTGAGGAAAGATCGTTAAGAGAAAAAACACGTAGGAAGGATTTAGAAAGCAAACTCATCCCAACACTTAACATTGTTGGGCATAGTCCACTGTACCAGGCAGTTAAAATATTTAATAGACTGCCACTTGAATTAAAAAGTATTCTGTACACAAGCTCGTTCAAAACTAGGCTCAAGGCATTCCTATTGGAGAAATGCCTCTACTCTGTAGATAACTTGTAAAACACAGGACTGGATTTTTTTTTTTTTTTTTATTTAATTTTGAATATTGAATATTATTATTTATTTTTTTTAATTTTAAATTGTTATTTAATAATTGATTTGGTTCTGCGTTGTTTTTGGGTACCTTTTTGTTTTTGTTTTTTTTTTCTTTGACATTGTTGATGATAATTCTCTGTTGACATTGTAATTACCTACTTTATATTAATATTGATCTTTTTTATTGACATTCATAGTAGATTTGATTTTGTGACATGTATTATATGGTTTTGTATTGTATTGTATTGGGTATACTTATTGAACAGTGTATCAATGTATTAATGTATTAATGTAGTTGTGTCACATAAATTTTGTCGTTATGAGATCAGTTATATTAGCAATAATTTTAATTGTAATTCGATTCAGGAAATGTGGTTTTTTTTTCTCTCTTTTTGTACTACTGGTGTTATTAGTTTTAAGCTTTGATTCACACACAATGTAAATTGTTTTTGAAATAAAGAAATAAAGATCGTTGGGGATTCAGGGATTGGGGAAATTGGGGAAGGGGAGGGTAATTGGGCCTCCGGTAACCTCACTCAGACGACGAAACACAATGCAAGCGTTGCCTAACGTCGGTTTTCTGTGAGGTATTTATTTTAGGATAGTCTAATATGGGATGTTGCTGTGCTAAAATTCAGTTTTTTATAATGTAAAGCAAAAAATTTTGGAATTGTGCCCGGTATATGGCAATAGGCTCACCCCCTATTACATGGGACTCATAACATAAATAGTGAAAAGCGGGTGTTACATTGTACAGTGGCATAATGTGCGCCTCTGCCTACCCCTTCGGGGATGAATAAATGTATATATGTATGTATATTGTGTTGTACTCGTGTGTAGGTATATTATATTTATGTTTATCTCTGAAATATAATAAATAAATCTTTATTCATTATAAGAAATTGGTCATAGTACAGATAAAAATCTTAATTTAAAATCAGAGACCTCACTAGGTTTGAATGCCTGTACTAGGAAAAATATCCTGTATCACAGGCGAAAGGAGCACTTACAATAGTACTAATTCTAGGACAAGTTATTTATATAAACAAATTCCATAACATAAGTAATCGATCAAAAGTAAAGTAAAGTTGATTATTTAATATACATACATAGATACATACACACATACATGACTACATAACATGATAGGTAACTAAATATTAATATTATCGTATAAGTATATGTAATATAAGTATATGTATCGTATATGTAAGTGTACCTATTTTATTTTCTCAATTAAATCGTTGCTTGCTTCTTGCTCCTACCATTCACTCTTCTCTGCATCACCCAAAGGTCAGACTGGGAGAAAATGCCTGCTGCATTAAGTCCACCTTATGTACGCTTTGTGCATGAAGCTTAAATAAATAAATAAAAGGCGTGATGTTATGATGATAAGCTAAAAATTTTAAGATATTATGTTGGGCACTAGGTGGTACAAAATTATTGATATAATTGTATAATTTGCCAATGTTCTAGCCGTGTAAAGCTGCCATTCATTTTGAGTAGATCTCTTGCCAGTTCTAGTATGTGACTCAAGCCTGGTCCATGTTTTCTACTGTACTCCCTAACTTCCTCTGCAATAGTTGGTATATTTAAGTTATCATGTATCTCAACATATCTCGAGAACCATGGGGCGCTGCTTGTTATTCTATATTATTACACATTGTTTTGGAGCATCAATGAATGGGGCCGTCGGCAGAAGGCACCGTAGACTGAAAGTAACTAACGTTCCATAGTCTCTGTCTACCCCCATGGGAGACAGGCGTGAAGTTATGAATATATATACATTGGTTTGGAATTTCTGTAACATATCTAAGTTTGATTTGCCGGCCGATCCCCAGAACTGAATGCCATTCTGTGATCGACTTATGTGGATAAGTCGATCACAGAATGACAATTTATTTGAATAGGTCTTCTTATGATTAACCCGTCGAGCGTCCGCGCTCCTTATGCATTTCCTTATCCTTATGCGTGCAAGAAAATGCATTTATTTGGCCATTGACACACGAAAACAAGGATCATTACAATAGAAATAAAACAAGTCAAAATAAAAACAAAACATTAATAATAGATTTTATAAAAGAGAAAGCTGCTCATAAGGACGCTCGAGGGGTTAACACCACCATAGAAAACACCGTTCCACAAAAACCACTCATAATCATTTTTCTTTAACGTTAATCACCACTCTTAATCACCAGGGTTCGTTGAGATCCACACGCCGAAGATAATATCCGCGGCATCAGAAGGTGGTGCCAATGTGTTCACCGTGTCTTACTTCAAGTCGTCAGCATACCTCGCGCAGAGCCCGCAGTTATACAAGCAGATGGCTATCGCCGCTGACTTCGACAAGGTGTGGTGATTGATGAAAATTTTGTCTTTTTTGTGAGAGTATCAATTTGTTGACATATTTTGGTAAGACAGATGGTGTGATTGTAATTAACAATTAATTCAAATTACGGGATTTAATGTTTGCATTGAACTACTTTTTATAAGTTCTGTCTACAGTTCAAGGTTCTATTCCTGAGTCAGACAATTTTTAAAAAAATAAATCTTTTCTTCTTTAAATAATTTTTTTTTAAATTTCATTTTTTTATTATATAGAGACTTTTACTCACATTTTATAACATTTTATGAATTAATTTACTATAACTCCATATTACAAATTCCAGGTGTTCACAGTAGGCGCAGTGTTCCGCGCCGAGGACTCGAACACGCACCGTCACCTCACTGAGTTCGTGGGACTCGACCTGGAGATGTCGTTCAAACATCACTACCATGAGGTGCTGTACACCATCGCAGGGACCTTAACTGACATGTTCCGGGGACTTAGAGACCAGTGAGTTATCTTAAATACTTCTTTAGTAAAATGTACTCAAGTTATAAGCCCCGGTGTGGCTCGAAACAAGTCGAGCACGTAAAATAATCATTTATTATAATTATAATAGTAGGTGCAATTGTGCTATCATTGTGCCAATAGTCGTGTCGGTTATTATATTATGGAAAATAATTCCTAACTACCTCGACAACCATCTTAGGAGGCTGGCGTTAGGCGGATGTGTTAAGTCAAGGGCGTGATACAGAATGCAGTTCTCCTAGAAACGGCACGTATCGTAAGGAGGTTTCTGTCTCTGGAGCCCTAACCACCGGTAGCTTGGACCATGCTCCCGCTACTGGTCGGCTCCTGTATTTTTAGAGAATTTTAAATAAATATACGTGTATAATTATAAACTTAATGAATTTGAACCATGAATTTTCAATAAAACCCCAGTTATTTATTTTTTAAAACAATAATATTTGGGAGGATGTTTCTTTGAATAGATGAGGGTTTGTTTGTTACGCTTTGACAAAAAGCCGAGGCAGAACCATTTTACGAAACGATATGAATTGCAGTGTATATTGTTTTATAATAACTATCGTGAGACATAGTAAATTAACTAAAACTCGCGGGTTACTCACGTGAATATACTGAGAAAAGCTCTACTAGTGTGGAACCACAGAGGGGTTTTCCTCATGAGCAGTGTGCGCGGTCGCGGCGATGTCGCGCAGCCTACACCGCGTTAAGTAACTCGCGATTTTTAATTCATTTTGTATGTCCCACGATAGTTATTATAAAAACAATCCTTACTAATATTATAAATCGGAAAGTGAGTTTGTTTGTTTGTCCCGCCTTCACGCCATAACCACTTAACCGATTGGTTTGAATTTATGCAGACGTAAAATTAGAAGTAGTAGCCAGTAGGCTACTGGCTGTTAGGAAGCTGCGCGACATCGCCGCTTGTAGGGATTTCCTCAGTATATTCACGTGAGTAACCCGTGATATTTAGTTAACAGTGTATATTGTATATTTTCAGGTTCGCGGCGGAGATAGCGACCGTAGGTCAGCAGTATCGCGTGGAACCGTTCAAGTTCCTCGACCCTCCACTCCGGCTAGAGTTCCCGCAAGCTATACAGATGCTCAAGGAAGCTGGTTAGTGGACCAACAGACATTCATTGTCTTCATGCTATAGTTATATTTGCACAGTTTGATTAACTCACATCTGAAATTATTATTATTATTTTTTGGGGTATACGAGCTGACTGATCACTTGATGGTAAGCAATCGGCGTCGCTCATGGACACCTGGAACACCAGAGGCGTTACAAGTGCATTACCGGTCTTTTGGTAATTTGAGGATTGTTGACGTTTCGAGGATTGGAGAGACTAAGGAGGGAGGTTGGGCCTCCAGTAGACTCAGTCACAAGTTTAGCTATGATTTCCTGCTCGTTGGTGGTATCGCTCCGGTCGACCCAGCCCATTCGTGCCGAAGCATGGCTCTCCCACACTTAAATGTAACGTGTTAGTTAATATGACCCGAAAATAGGCCACAACTGTGCGCTTCTCACGTAGCTTTCTACCTCGCACAACAAAACTATGGAAGGATCTGTCGTCGGTGGTATTTCCGAACCGATACGACCTTCAAACCTTCAAGACAAAAGCGTACTCTTTTTTAAAAGGCCGGCAATGCACCTATGACAACTCTGGTGTTGCGGGTGTTCATGGGCGACGCTGATCGCTTACCATCAGGTGATCCGTCTGCTCGTTTACCTCCTACTCCATAAAAAAAAAAATGGATCCACAAACCCAGTATTTGACTCAATTACCATTGACTTATATATTTTATTCCGTTTTCCAGGCGTTACAGTAGGTGAGGAAGACGATCTCTCCACCCCTGACGAGAAGCTCCTCGGTCGTCTGGTCCGCGCGAAGTATGACACCGACTTCTATATCCTGGACAAGTACCCGCTCGCCGTCAGACCATTCTATACCATGCCGGATCCCAATAACCCGGTTAGTAAATTATTTTTTAAACTAACTGCTAACTATGACCTGACCTATAGTGTTGGCGGGCTGATTTCCTAGTCGTCGAAATAGATATAAATAGATAACATAATATCACGCCTTTTATCCCCGAAGGGGTAGGCAGAGGTGCACATTACGGCGCTTAATGCCACTGTACAATGTAACACCAACTTTACACTATTTATGTTATGAGTCCCATGTAATCCCTATTACTCACCCCCTGGTGAGTCTATTGCCATATACCGGGCACATTTCCAGACTCCGTGCAGTAGCACGAGTGGAGAGTGGTCGCAAGTGCAACTGCCGGGCAAAGGGTCTCGGGCTCGATTCCCGGGTCGGGCAAAGAATTACTGGGTTTTTTAAAGAAATCTCAGTAGTAGCACGGAGTATTTGTGTATAATATATTCTATACCTAATATTTTTATTTTTTTGTTTGTGTTAGAAAGAAAATGGATCTATGTAATCTGAATTGAATTATTATTGTTATATTACAGAAAGTCTCCAACTCGTACGACATGTTCATGCGCGGCGAGGAGATCCTCAGTGGCGCGCAGAGGATACACGACCCGGAGTTCCTCACTGAGAGGGCCAAACATCACGGGATCGGTGAGTCGGCCGGATTATACATACATACACACACACACTCTCACACACACACACACATAAATACTGATTAATCTCATTTTAAGAATAGAATACTTAATGTTATTTTAACGATTTCCAAAAAAAGAGAAGAATTATATTGCGATATTTGTGTTTTTAACGATGTTCAGCTAGGGCTGACTTTCAAAATTATTTTTTGTCGAAATTTTATATTTGTAATGTGGAATTTCCTTGTCAACAATTTATAGTACTTACACTATATAATTTCAATCGTTATGAGCACAATGTAATGTTGATATTTAATTAAATAGATAATTATTATATTTTTATTCCAGACATCAGCAAGATAGCTGCGTACATTGAATCCTTCAGGCTGGGGTGTCCACCACACGCAGGTAAATAAATTTCTAATCAATATTGTGTATGTTTTTTTTTGAGGGGGGAAAATCACCGTATGACTGCTCCCGCCTGGGTGAGACGGAAGGGAGTGTCAGACTCGTACTGACTAAAAACACCCCCGTTCCTTCTCCTGCACGTCGAGCCAAAGCCCCGGAACCCGCGGCTCCGAATCGGCACCAGCTCTATTGTGCTTGTGGTGGTCTGATGGCTCTTTAGGCCGCGCCACACGCTCGGGTCGATATCGTGTGTGCTAATGCTTGTTTTCTCGTCCCCAAATGAATGATTTTGTTGGATTCTTTTAAATGTGTAGATAGAAATTTAAAAATTGTTTTTACACGTATTGGACTTATTAGTGAAAACTTTTTTTGATTTAGTAAACATATTTATAGTAGGCTATATTTTGGAATATCAAAACAACTCAAAAATTCCTTGCTCTACCCAAGACACTGCGCATGTTACAAAATAAAACTTGATTGCACGGTTGGTGCGGTAGCTGTGCAACTGGCTCAACGTATAGCGAATTCGATTCCCGCTCGGAGCAACTCTTTATGTGATTCATAAAGAGTCGTTTCGAGTCTGGGAGTCATGTGCATGTCACCCACGTCACAGGAGAAAATCCTAGTGTGGGGCAATGTTTAAAAAGACCTCAAAATTATTTTTATTATCCTTCCCAGGCGGTGGTATCGGCATGGAGCGCGTAGTGATGTTGTATCTCGGCCTGGACAACATCCGCAAAACTTCAATGTTCCCGCGCGACCCCAAGCGAGTGACGCCGTGATCTAAACTTGTATTATACCAGTTTTGTACTGACAGAGCAATATTCAATAAAATGATTATTTAATTATGTGTTTTTTTTTGTATGTACCCTTTTGAATCTTACTTCCTCTCTATATTAATAACTAGCTACTTCCGCGCGGTTTCACACGCTCTACTCAGCTCCTATTGGTCGTAGCGTGGTGTTTTAAAGCCTGTAGCCATCTTCGATAAATGTGCTATCCAACGCAAAAAGACTTATTCAAATCAGACTTGTAGTTACGGAGATTAGCACGTTCAAACAAACAAACAAAAAAACAAACTCTTCAATCTTATAGTAATAGTATATATATATATCTTATAGATATATATCTTATAGTAAATAGTACCTATAAGATTTCGTCTAGGCATACAAACACATAGACACATAGACTCGATCCAAACATAACCTGAAAAACAAAACATGAAAAATATCGATCTCGAGTCGACAACTTATATCCGCAAAATTCGGATCACCAAAAACATTCTGTAAAAAACTAGCAGTCTCGATGGAGCTGCAAGTTTATCTCTATAAAGTAATGAAATATATAACAAAGTCGTGCCAAGTCTATGTTAGTAATTTGTTACTCAATCTCATCAAAATACCAGGGGGCTTACTCTTGAATCCAATTCCGATCGATCGACATTGATATTGTGAAATTTCCTACTCTTGAGTTGCAACACTAGCGCCCATTGCATCCGTATTGCGTGGATATTGAATGAACTAAATGGTATCGCGTTTGCTTTATATTCCGTACTCTGAATGCTATTGTAACAGCTACGAAAGGGGTTGTATAGTGTTGACATTGAATAATTATTGAGATTTAATTGAATTGAATTTGTTTTGACATTGAGATTGATTTCAAGAGTAAGCACCCAGGTCTTGAATCCAATTCCGATCGATCGACATTGGTATTGTGAAATTTCGTACTCTTGTGTTGCAACACTAGCGCCCATTGCATCCGTATTACGTAGATATTGAATGAACTAAATGGTATTAAGTTTAGCTTTATATTCCGTACTCTGAATGCTTATTGTAACAGCAACGATTGTGTTCAATGTCAACACTATACAACTATACTGTTGACATTGAACGCGTTTACGAACGAATTACGCACTACAGCTACACGACAAGCCGTGGTGTCCAAGGCTCTTAACATCGTCACCACCACGACAACGATGAGTTGAACAAAATGAAGCTCCAAGCCTTAAACAAATTGCAACATTGTGTAAGTGACGTGTGGAAGGCAAAGCAAGAAGCCATAACCCCGGCCCCCACTCACCTACAGCCAGGAGGCGAGCTAGTTCTGCAATTGAACAAGAGGAGTTCAAGAGATTTTCTCTCACTTTTCTGCAGAGCGGCTCGTCCCACTGTCTCTGGGAGAGTGATTTGACAGGGGGAACAATATTTGGGTATGCGATTTTCCAAGCATTCACAGCTTCCACTAAACATAAAAACCTGCACGGCAGCCTCGCAGCCCCCTTTCGATTCATACCCGAGTTGAAGGGGCTGGATTTTTTCCGAAAGATGATTATTATAAAATTTGCAACAAATCTTGGTTGCCATGCGACGATAAGTTGTTCCCACGGCAATGGGATGAATTTCGCCATCCTTCTTGCGTAGGACACATCAATGGTCCACGAAATCGATCGAGCGTCCTCGAAAACTATCGAGCGTCCTCGAAAACTATCGAGCGTCCTCGAAAACAATCGAGCATCCTCGAAATCGATCGAGCGTCCTCGAAAACTATCGAGCGTCCTCGAAATCGATCGAGCTTCCTCGAAAACTATCGAGCGTCCTCGAAAACTATCGAGCGTCCTCGAAATCGATCGAGCGTCCTCGGAAACAATCGAGCGTCCTCGAAATCGATCGAGCGTCCTCGAAAACAATCGAGCGTCCTCGAAAACAATCGAGCATCCTCGAAATCGATCGAGCGTCCTCGAAAACTATCGAGCGTCCTCGAAAACAATCGAGCGTCCTCGAAAACTATCGAGCGTCCTCGAAAACAATCGAGCATCCTCGAAATCGATCGAGCGTCCTCGAAAACTATCGAGCGTCCTCGAAATCGATCGAGCTTCCTCGAAAACTATCGAGCGTCCTCGAAAACTATCGAGCGTCCTCGAAAACTATCGAGCGTCCTCGAAAACAATCGAGCGTCCTCGAAATCGATCGAGCGTCCTCGAAAACAATCGAGCGTCCTCAAAACAATCGAGCGTCCTCGAAATCGATCGAGCGTCCTCGAAAACAATCGAGCGTCCTCGAAAACAATCGAGCGTCCTCGAAATCGATCGAGCTTCCTCGAAAACTATCGAGCGTCCTCGAAAACTATCGAGCGTCCTCGAAAACTATCGAGCGTCCTCGAAAACAATCGAGCGTCCTCGAAATCGATCGAGCGTCCTCGAAAACAATCGAGCGTCCTCGAAAACAATCAAGCGTCCTCGAAATCGATCGAGCGTCCTCGAAAACAATCGAGCGTCCTCGAAATCGATCGAGCGTCCTCGAAAACTATCGAGCGTCTTCGAAATCGATCGAGCGTCCTCGAAAACAATCGAGCGTCCTCGAAATCGATCGAGCGTCCTCGAAAACTATCGAGCGTCCTCGAAATCGATCGAGCGTCCTCGAAATCGATCGAGCGTCCTCGAAATCGATCGAGCGTCCTCGAAAACAATCGAGCGTCCTCGAAATCGATCGAGCGTCCTCGAAAACAATCGAGCGTCCTCGAAAACTATCGAGCGTCCTCGAAAACTATCGAGCGTCCTCGAAATCGATCGAGCGTCCTCGAAAACAATCGAGCATCCTCGAAATCGATCGAGCGTCCTCGAAAACTATCTAGCGTCCTCGAAATCGATCGAGCGTCCTCGAAAACTATCGAGCGTCCTCGAAAACAATCGAGCATCCTCGAAATCGATCGAGCGTCCTCGAAAACTATCGAGCGTCCTCGAAAACAATCGAGCATCCTCGAAATCGATCGAGCGTCCTCGAAAACTATCGAGCGTCCTCGAAATCAATCGAGCAACCTCGAAATCGATCGAGCGTCCTCGAAAACAATCGAGCATCCTCGAAATCGATCGAGCGTCCTCGAAAACTATCGAGCGTCCTCGAAAACTATCGAGAGTCCTCGAAAACTATCGAGCGTCCTCGAAAACTATCGCGAGTCCTCGAAAACTATCGAGAGTCCTCGAAATCGATCGAGCGTCCTCGAAAACAATCAAGCGTCCTCGAAAACAATTGAGCGTCCTCGAAATCTATCGACGGTCCTCGAAAAGTATCGAGCGTCCCCCAAAAGTATCGAGCATCCTTGAAATCTATCGAGAGATACTGGATACCTATATCTATCGAGTATACTCTATCATTTTCGAGATATAGCAGGAGACGCTTTGGGAGTAGGTCCAGACTATCCCTGTTGGATAAAACTTAGATGCGAGTCCCGCCAAGCCTTCCGCCCCGCATCACACTCATGACTCACAGCATATGCAGCAGCGGCGCGGGGTGGAGGGCATAGCGAGGCACGCGCCTCTGCAGGTGGTGAGCGCCAGGTGCTGCTGATCTACTGCAGGTCTAGTAGCGAGTGTGACTCTCAGCGTCTGCAGCAGCAGCACGTGTCTTAGTTTTATCTAACAGGGATTGGCTGTACATACTTGTAGCTGGCATGCTATCGTCAAACCTTTTTTAGATATTAAAAAATATCCAACATATATAATTGGAAGATGGGTAGGCCTTTGGTGTGGGACGCGACGTGTGTAGACACCCTTGCGCCATCACCTCTTTTAAGCACCGCTGCATGCGTTGGTGCAGCTGCTTCCGCGGCAGAGGCCCTCAAACGGCGTAAATATTCAAATCTAGTGGGTAACTACTGTTTTGAGCCGTTTGGGGTCGAAACACTTGGGCCATGGGGTCCCAGTGCACACTCTGTGTTTAAAGACATCGCCCGTAGGCTAATCGAGCCTACACGTGACCAGAGGGCTGGCTTTTTCTTCGGACAGAAAATAAGCATTGCCATTCAACGTGGCAGTGGCGTGGTAAGTTGTAAATATTTATGTAGTTATATAAATTATGATATTTATATAATTCTGCTGTGCGTGTGTATATCATTGAACTCCTCCTAAACGGCTTGACCGATTTTAATGAATTTTTCTGTATGCGTTTGAGGGGCGCCCTGAATGGTTTAGATTCACAAATCAGCCCGGCAGATGGCCCTGTAGTCGGTCTAGGTTTTTTATCCTAAACGGCTGATTTTTGTTTATACATTCAAGTGGATATGCAGGACAACGTCTGTCGGGTCCGCTAGTATCCAATAAAAATACTTACAATAAGGTACTTTATCGGTGACCAATTTAGTTTGTATAGCTATGGTGATGGTGGTATTGAAAGACGATGTAGTAACAAGGATTGAAAAGGGAATGTTACGCTGGTTTGGACATGTAGAAAAGATGGATGAAAGTAGAGTAACGAAAGAAGTATACAGAGCGGATATGAATGGAGCCGTCGGTAGAGGGCGCCCTAGACGGACATATAGTGACCAGATTGGCGATATATTAAAGAAGGGCCAAATTAAAAGTACCCTTAACCGACGAGCATGCATGAAAAGATTGATGACTGTTAATGAAGCGAAAGAGGTATGTAAGAATCGTAGTAATTGGCGTTCCTTAGTCTGTGCCTACCCCCATGGGAGACAGGCGTGAAGTTATGTATGTATGTATGTAGCTATGGTGAATGTTGCAGCAACTTTGTCATTGGGGTATTTGTAATCAGTCTGGGCTATGGCTCGACATGCACCTGTGATGTGGTGGATAGTTTCTGAGGCACCGTGACATCGTCTACTGGAGTAATTATAGTTGGGACTACGGACGAATCTTTGATAGTTGCCTGTGTCGATAACCTGGGTGCTTACTCTTGAAACCAATCACAAACTCAATACAATTTCAATCCAATAAAGTCCCAATAATTATTCAATGTCAAAACTATACAACCCCCTATCGTAGCTA